TCCTCCCCTCCCTTGCACACACTTTATCCCACCCCCGCAACCCCGCCCAGCGGCCAACCTAGACAAACTGATACAGAGAAGTTCAAAGTTCAATCCAATCCGAGAAGGTGCCTGGAGACATCTGGGACTCTGGTCCTAGACCTCCCAGCCACTCCTCTAGACCCACCTTCACCTCTCTCGGGAAGGCCTCCAGAGAGGAAAAGAAGCTGTCCCAGACAGGGCTTCAGAGCTCTCGTTTGCCTGTCCTTTGGGACCACCGACCAAGGAGAGCCACTGGGATGGAGGTCCCCAAGGCTCCTCTGTCCTCCTCCACCATGAAAACCCCGAGGAAGCAGCAGCTAGAAGCACTGGCCGCCCTCCAATTTGTGTTAACGTTCCTGTTCATGGGTGAGAGGAGTGGGGAGAGGCATGGGTGCCTGGGTCACTGGGCCCGTGGTCTGGGACCATGAGAACAGAGGGGAGAGACTAGCTCCTGGTCAGCTCTGAAGAGGCTGGCTGAAATGATTGGGTTGAAAAGGCTAATTCCTTTTCTTTCTCACCTCTCACCCAGGTACTTCCTTCACCCTTTTGGTCCTCTTCCTCCTCTTCACCTCCTTCTGGTCACTCTCAGTTCTCTACTTTGTCTGGCTCTACCTGGATTGGGACACACCCAACCAAGGTGAGTTGGGGACAGGGGCCCAGCAAGTGAGACCTGGCAGGCAGGGTATCTTCAGGAACTTACAGCCAGAGCTCTCTGACTGCAGGCGGGAGGCGTTCTGAGTGGATACGGAACTGGACAGTTTGGAAACACCTAAGGGATTATTTTCCTATCAAGGTTGGTCATTGCCCCACACTCTTCTTTCTGACCCTCTCGCACCTCCCCACCCTCTTCTGGTCCTGGATCCTGAGCAAAGCTGCTTAGACGGTGGGCTGTGGATAGGGAACATTTAGAGCGAGTCCCCTGCTCCCTCCATCCCCTTCCCGGACCTTACACCCTGAATTCAGCTGGTAAGCCTCTCTCCTCCTTCTATGTCTCTCTCCTCCATCCTGCCCAACACCTGAAAGCTGGTGAAAACAGCAGAGCTGCCACCCACCCAGAACTATGTGATGGGAGCCCACCCACATGGAATCATGACCACTGGATTCTTCTGTAATTTCAACACAGAGAGCAATGCTTTCTCCCAAAAGTTCCCTGGGCTTCGGCCCTCCATGGTCGCGCTGGCCGGCCTCTTCCGCCTTCCAATCTTTCGAGACTACATCATGCTCAGTGGTGCGTCTTGGTTGAGTAGGAGGAGGTGACCCCTGCCCAGACCCGACCTGAACATTGTCCAGGCTCTGAGTGGGAGTCAGTGATTATCTCTGGACAAGTGTGCTAGAGGTTGATACCAAAGTGGGAGGAGGGTAGAAGGAACAGACTGGGGGCTGCCCTTCCTATACTAACAGGGGCTCAGGAGCCATGGAGGTGGTGGTGACTGATCCCTATGTGTCCATGCCCACAGGATTATGTCCTGTGAGCCGCCAGAGTCTGGACTTTATCTTATCCCAGCCCCAGCGCGGTCAGGCCGTGGTCATCATCGTTGGGGGTGCCCAGGAGTCCCTGTATTCAGGTCCAGGCCAGCACTGTGTTGTTCTCCGGAAGCGCAAAGGGTTTGTGCATCTTGCACTGCAGCATGGGTAAGTGGCTGTGAGGTCACCCAGGCAGGCTGAGCTTCCCACTCATGCCTGGAGCTCCGTCTTCTGTGGGTCCCATTCTACACAAGGAGAGTGCTTACTTCAGCGCTTGAGTGCTTACTCTGTCTGTGCCTCATACCACTCAGAGAGAGGTTAAGGTGCACTGGGGCCCAGAAGCCTGGGGTTCAATCCCTGACACTATCTCAAAGGCAAACCCGTAGCCACATTTCCTGATCTGGGAAGCAGAGTTAGTGTTACCTTGCAAGAATGTAGTCATAAAGATGGAGTGAAACGTGAGTCCCTTTTCCCAGATCTTTCTTAATGGCCACAGAATGAGTCTGCTGCTCTGGCTTGTTTCAGAAGGGCTCTGAAGCCACCCAGGTGACAACCCATGTCTCTCTTGCTGCTCCCTTCTAGGGCCTCCCTGGTGCCTGTGTACTCCTTTGGGGAGAATGATGTCTTCAAAGTTAAGACTTTTGCCACAGACTCCTGGCAATACCTGTGCCAGACCACCTTCAAGAAGCTCATGGGCTTTGCTCCTTGCATCTTCTCAGGCCGTGGCCTCTTCTCAGCCAACTCCTGGGGCCTGATGCCCTTCGCTGTGCCCATCACCACTGTGGGTGAGTGTCCATCTTCAGAAGGAAAGCTTCCACAGGCAAATGGACAGCAAAAGCCTCTCTCCTCACTTGCTGTCTCTCTTTCCTTGTAGTGGGCCGCCCCATCCAGGTGCCACAGCGCCTGAACCCCACTAAGAAGGAAGTTGACCACTATCATATGCTTTACATGAAGGCTTTGGAGCAGTTGTTTGAGGAGCACAAGGAGAGCTGTGGTGTCTCTGCTTCTACTCGCCTCACCTTCATGTAGCCCTGGCCTCGTCCCCCATCCTCATCCTGAGCCCCTATGGCCAGTACATGCAGACCCCTCTCCCATCTGTGGCTTTGTTTGATCCCCCTCCAATAAAAACTGGCTTGGTCTTACCATTTGTCATAAACTGAATGGGGTCTGCCCAAAATATGTGTCAACTTGGCTGGGTTGTGATTCTCAATGGTTTGGAAGTTATGTAATGAATGATGTTATTTGGCAGTTATGTAATGGTTCCCCAGGATGTGATCTGAGGTGAGAAACCAACAACAGGATTAAGGGTGGGCTGCAATTCCCTTAATCCCATCACAACTCTGATTTTAGGGAGTTTCCCGTGGTGGCCTGCAACATCTTTTCTCTTACAAAGGTAAAAGGAGAGAGAAGCAAGCAGAGAAAGGGGGGCCTACTACCACCAAGAAAGAAGAGCCAGGATTGTATGGTATCCTTTGGATAAGGGGTCCCCGCACTACAAATCTCCTAGATCCAGGGAAACACTAATGCCAAGACGCATGGAGATCTCCAAGGAATGCTGAACCTGTTGTTGTTTGGTGCCGTGGAGTCAGTTCCAACTCACAGTGGCCCTGTGTACAACAAATGAAACACTGTCCAGTCCTGCTCATCCTCACAATTGTTGCTATGCTTGAGTTCATTGCTGTTGCCACTGTGTCAATTGATCTTGTTGGGGGTCTTCCTCTTTTTCATTGACCCTCCACTTTACCAAGCATGATGTCCTTCTCCAGGGACTGTTTCCTCCTGATAACATGTCCAAAGCATGAGCGATAGTCTCACCATCTTAGCTTCTAAGGAGTATTCTGATTGCACTTCCAACACAGATCTGTTTTTCCTTCTGGCAGTCCATGGTACTTTCAATCTTTCTCCAACACCATAAGTCAAATACGTCAATTCATCTATGGTCTAACTTTCACAGGCATATAAGGCTGTTGAAAATACCATGACATGGGTCAGAAGCACCTTAGTCTTCAAATTTATATCTTTGCTCTTAAACATTTTTAAGTGGTCTTGTGCAACAATTTTGCCTAATGCACTATGTTGTTTGATTTCTTGGCTGCTGCTTCCAGGAGTGTTGATGGTGGACCCAAGCAAAATGAAGTCTTTGACAGCTTCAGTTTTTTTCTCCATATACCATGGTGTTGTTTATTGGTCCAGTTGTGGGGAATTTTGTTTTCTTTACATCGAGGTGCAACCCATACTGAAGGTTGTGGTCTTTGATCTTCATCAGTAAGTATTTTAAACCCTCTTCTCTTCCAGTAAGCCAGGTTATGTCATCTGCATATGACAGGAATCTTCCTCCAATCCTGGTACTACAGTCTTCTTCATATAATCCATCTTCTGAGATGATTTTCTCAGCATACAGATCGAATAGTGAAAAGGAGACAACCTTGGCACACACCTTTCCTGATCTTAAACTATTCAATATCCCCTTGTTCTGTTCCAACGACTGCATCTTAGTCTATGCCCAGGTTCCTGATGAACACAATGAAGTGTTTTGGAAACCCTATTTTTCACAATGTTATTCATAGCTTGTCACACAGCCAAAAGCTTTCACATAGTCAATAAAACACAAGTGAACATCTTTCTGGTATTCTATGTTTTCCGCCAAGATCCCTCTGACGTCAGCAATGATACCCCTTAGTTCCACGTCCTCTTCAGGATACGGTTTGAATTTCTGGCAGTTTTCTGTGGATGTATTATTTCAGTTGTTTTTGAATTATCATTATTATAGGTATCTATGTTTAATGGAGTCATGGTGTGGCGCTGTAGGATAAGCAACGGACTGCTAACTGAAAGGTCGACAGCTTAAACCCACCAGTCACTCCTAGGAAACCCTATACAGGGTCACTATGAATGGGGGCCAACTGGACAGCATGTAACAACAACCACCCAGTCATTTGGTGGACGTTACAAGACTAAAGCTAGAAAGGTCATATTAAGTAATTCACAGCACTGTAATCCCCAGAGGTGGGCGGACCAGAAAACAAGCAACATTTTGAAAGCAAATAGTTGAGAACTGACTCTCAAGCCTCTCACCACAGAGTTTGGAGATGAAGGAGATGGTTTGTAAGAGACATTTGTTGTTGTTAAGTGCTGTCAAATCACTTCTGATTCATAGCCACCTGTACAGGGCTTCTAAGGAGCAGTTGGTGGCTCCTTGAAGACATTTAGAGTGGTAGAAAAGATAGCTGTAGATGCACAGATTGGCCTATATACCACTTTCTCACCCTGCATATGACAGGGCTGGAAGATCAGATGAAGCAAGGATAGTCTAAGATTTTTTTTTTTTTAATTTAAACTTTTCAGAGTGAAGGCTCACGGAAAAGATCATCAACTTTACATTCAACAGATCACACACTTCGCCTTCTCAAATGGATTGTAATCTCCTCCATGCAACAATAGTTATCCCACTTCCTCCTTGTGCTTCTCATGTCTAGTCCACCCAAAGTCCCACCCCTTCTCAACCGTATCCTTAGGTAGATGTTGCCGACTTGATTCTGAGGGATTGACCATACCAGATGAGCATCCCCCACTAGTGTTGTTGTTCCCACCACCCCATAATGCTTGGCAGAAATTTGGGCCATGAGGGTGAGTTCCTTTACAGACCTGAAGGGTGGTCAAGGGCCATAGTCTTGGGTTCTTCCAGTCTCTCTTTATAATTTCGAGTTCTGTTCCACATTCAGCTACTCTGTCTGGAACCCTCCAGTGTGATCCTTTTTAGGCTGGGTACCATCTAGTTCCTCTTGTCTCCGAGTCATGGAAACCAACACTCACATGTTTTATTAGTCCATTGGACTAATTGATCCCAAATGTCTTCAATTCTCATCACTCTTCTTTCTTCTGCAAATGGAGAGACCAATAGTTGCACTTTAGATGGCTGCTCATAAACTTTTAAGATCCCAGATGCTACTCACCAAAGTAGAATGTAGAACGTTGTCTTTATGGACTATGTTATGCCAAGTAACTATGGTGTCCCCTGAGACTATGGTCTTGAGCCTCCAGGTCCAACAACTCATTACCTTAAGATGTTTGATAATATCTAAGAATTTTCATCATTTTTCCCACTGTATGCTTCACCACATTCATAGTTGTGTTTGCAGCAAAGGTTGATGTTGTTGTTAAGTTCCATCAAATCTGCCCCAATTCATAGTGACCCTGCATAGGGTTTCTGAGGATCAACTGACGGATTTGAACCTTTTGGTTAGCAACCCAGTGCTTATCCTATAGCACCATACCAGGACTCCACAAGGTAAATACCCACTTACAAATATCCTTTTTAAAATCTTTATAGCACTTAACAACAACAACAACATATCTTTGGGTATATGCCCACCCGAGTTAGCATGTGTATATTCTCTAATCATTACTCTCCCTTTCTTTTCACTGGTGAGAATGTTTCTTTTAGCATAAAAACCTTCTCTTGAGTTTGACCTTCATAGCTGTGGCTGCAGGGGAACAGAGACAGTGGCTTTGTATCAGGGTGTTATTCAGTTTTCATGTCGTTCATTTTTTCCCTTGATCTTTCTATTGTTGATTTCTAATTTTATAGCTTTGTGTTCTGAAAAAATGCTTTGTAGTATTTTGATGTTTTTAAAATTTATTGAGGCTTACTTTGTGGCCTCAATATGGTTTATTCTGGAGAAGATATTATGCGCACTGTAAAAGAATGTGTATTATGCTGTTGGGTTGAGTGCTCTGTATGCGTCTCTGAGGTCAGGTTGGCTGATTCAGTTCCTCAGTGTTTATGTTGAGTTTCTTTCTAGTTGTTATGTCCTTCATCAAAAGTGGTGTATTAAAGCTCCTACTATTATTCTTTTGTTTTGTTTTAGGTGCTGTTGAGTCAATACTAACGCGTAACAACCCTATGCGCAACAGAACGAAACACTGCTGGGTCCTGGGCCAACCTCACAGTCATTGCTATGCTTGAGCCCATTACTGCTGTCGCTGTGGCTGCCATCTCATTGGGGTCTTCCTCTTTTCCGCTGATCCTCCACTTTACCAAGCATGATGTCATTTTCCAGGGACTCGTGCCTCCTGATAATATGTCCCAAGTGTGAGAGATGAAGTCTGGCCGTCCTGGTTTCTAAGGAGCATTCTGAGTGTACTTTGTCCAACACAGATTTGTTTGTTCTTTTGGCAGTCCACGGTACTTTCAATATTCTTCTCCAACACCATAACTCAAATGCATCAATTCTTCTATAGTCTTCTTTATTTACCATCCAACTTTCACATGCATGTGAGACTATTGAAAATACTATGACTTGAATTAGGCACACCTTCGTCCTTCAACTGACATTTTTGCTCTTGAGCATTTTAAAAAGGTCTTGGGCAGCAGATTTGTCTAGTGCAATATGTCTTTGACTGTTAATGTTTGACCCAAGCAAAATACTATTAGTGTAGAGTTGTCGATTTCACTCTTCAATTCTATTAGAGTTTGATTTATGTATTTTGAGGCTCTTTCTTTGGGACCATAGATATTTATTATGGTTATATCCTCTAGTTCAATTGACTGCAAAGGAATTCTTTTACAACATTAAGACTTACTGTCAGTCCAACATATGCTAAACATGAATTCATTTGCATAAGACTGTTGTGTAGATTAAGGAGCCCTGGTGGAGAAGTTGATTAAGTGTTGGGCTGCTGACTGAAGGTGGAAGGTTGGTGGCTCAAATCTTTCTCCATGGGCAACAGTTGAGACAGATGAGACAGTCCTCTCTTGTAAAGATTTATCATCTCAGAGACCCCGTGGAAAAGTTCTGCTCTGTCTTATAGGTTACCAGGAGTCAGAATCGAGTTGATGGCAGTGGGTTTGGTTGTGAAGATTAAATGATTCAATTGGAGCGATTGGCACGGAATTGGCCAATGAGTTGGCTATATCATCAGCGTCATCATCACAAGCGTGTCATTGGTGAAATGAGGGAGGAAGACAAAATGGTCTTAGTTCTCTAGGACCACTTTAACAGAGATACTGCCAGTGAGGGGCTTTAACA